TTCACTAAAACTAGAAAATCGATTCTTTTTATTCTGCTCACTAATTTGCTGACTCTTTTCAGTTTCCCAATTCTGTTAATTTCTGCCCAATTGTCAGCTGTAATGAAAGCCGGCTTCACTTGCTTGATCTTCGCTCTATTCATCACATTTCGTATGTGATCACCAACTTTCTTCTGAAAAATTCTTCTCACTTCATTCTCTTCCTCTTCATCCCACCTGAACTTCCGCTACAATCAATACAAAAAAAACGGGAGAAGAACAGCAGAAGTGCCAAAAGTTGTGTACGGAGCTCACTTTGGTGCCAAAAGTTTCAAACGGATCACTTAAGTGTCAAAAGTTGTGAAAAACGATAACTTAAGTGCCACATCGCCGGAAATCCGACGTGGCATTTTTTTATTAATTTCTCAAGCTGATGTGGCTCGCCGAAGGCTGATGTGGCGTTTCTTTTCTTTTTTCGTTTCTTTTCTTTTTTTTCTTTTCTTTCTTCTACCATGGCTGGTGGCTGGAGGCCAGCCACCGGCCATGGTCGGCCTCGCCGAGCGTCGCCTTCCTCCGAGCGAGGGCCGGCCTCACCGGATTTGGCGAGGCGAGCCCCGGCGAGGGCTTGCCTCGCCAGATCCGGCGAGGCCACCGTGGCCTTGGCGAGGGCTCGCTTCGCCGGATCCGACGAGGTCGGCCCTCGCCGAGGCCATGGCGGCCTCGCCAGCCTTGCCCGGAGGAAGACGACGCCTCGGAGAGGCCGCCGTGGCCTTGGCGAGGCTCGCCTCGCCAGATCCGGCGAGGCCGGCCCTTGCCGAGGCCACGGCGGCCTCGCCGAGCCTCGCCCGGAGGAAGGCGACTCCTCGGCGAAGGCTCGCCTCGCCGATCCGACAAGGCCGGCCCTCGCCGAGGCCACGGCGGCCTCGACGGACCTCGCCCGGAGGAAGGTAACGCCTCGGCGAGGCCGCCGTGGCCTTGGCGAGGGCTCGCCTCGCCAGATCCGGCGAGGCCGGCCCTCGCCGAGGCCACGACTGCCTCGCCGGGCCTCGCCCGGTGGAAGGCGACGCCCGGCGAGGCCGGCCCTGGCCGGTGGCTGGCCTCCGGCCACCGGCCATGGTAGAAGAAGAAGAAGAAGAAAGAAAAGAAAAAAGAAAAGAAAGAAAAAAATCAGAAAAAAATATTTAAAAAATTGAATTATACACGTGGAAATGCCACGTGTCATTAAAATTTAAATATAAAAGTCACGTATTAAATTTGGTCGGAATTTCTCGCCGTTGACACTGAAGTGATCATTTTTTCTCCGATTTGGCACTTAAGTGATTGCCGGCGTAAACTTTTGGCACTTAAGTGATCCGTTTGAAACTTTTGGCGGCAAAGTGAGCTCCGTACACAACTTTTGGCACTTCTGCTGTTCTTCCCCCAAAAAAAAACTAAAAGTTATTAAGATGGTCACATATCCATTACCATGCACCAGACAATTCGGCGATAGATTTTGTAAATTTCATCTCGGGGAAAATATCCGGTCCCTTTAGTACCGAAAACTAAAGAGTTGTTCTGGTCCCTTTACATCATTCTTGACTATCAATATACTACACCGAACTTAGTTGGTGAGAAAATAGAATATCTAAAACTTACCTTGAACTCATTCCACCACAAATTTTTCACTTCTTGTGGAACACTTCTGTAATTAATATACTGCCCCATCCAATAGTTTTTGACTATTTTATTCAGTCCCCTTACAACAAACAGAGCATCCGTGAATCTGCAAACATACGGATATTGTGCAACATCGACAATTCAGTTGACATCCATATCTAAAGCCATAAATATTACATATACTAAAAAAAAATGAAGTACTTACGAATCTCCAAATGGGCATATCATGAATCGGTTATCTTCTTCACCTGTGTTTCCGTCATTATTCGATTGTTGCGCTGAATAATAAGGTGGAACGGAAGGAGATGGATCTAAAGGAGATGGAACTGGAGGAGATTCAGTTTGCATGTGGCCAAGTCCCCTAACATGTTCTTGAGTGTTGGAGGAAGGGCCAACGTGTCCATATTGTCCATCAGCATATAGTGGTTGAGGGTTAAATGAAAGGACAGGAGAAGAGGAAAGGGACGGGGACGAGGACGAGGAAGGGGCTGGTCTTCTATGCATGTGACCTCCACGTTTATACTGACAAGTAGGAAGGTTAGACAAATATGTAAAAAAATATGAACACGTATTACGGACACATAATGACGTACATGACGAAGCTTACCATTTTGGTTCAGAAGCAGAAAGTGTTCCCTCTTAATTAGCCAATGCCGAGTGTTTATGACGTACAATTTCCTACGAACAAATATACTATGAATCGCACTCATTTTGATATCAAACATCAATATATGAGCACGATATGCCATGCTAAGCCGACAATAGCCATAATTAACCACACGATCCACTTTCAAACCACACGATAATTTATCAAGTACAAGAACAACCATGAAACATCAATTTCAGCCACATGATCATCAATCAAAGTGGATGGCCACAGACATTATAAGCCATTCTGTGATTTATGAAATTTTTGATTTTTTTAATATTTTTTGGGCACCTAAACAAATTGAAATTTCACTCAAAGTGGGTGGCCACAGATATTCTAAGTCATTCTGTGAAGTTTTGAAATTTTTTATTTTATTTATTTATTTATTTTTTTTTGCACCTACAAAAATTTAAATTTCACTCAAAGTGGGTGGCCAGAGGTATTCTAAGTCATTCTATGAAGTTTTGAAATTTCTTATTTTTTTTATTTTTTAATTTTTTTGGGCACCTACAAAAATTTAAATTTCACTAAAAGTGGGTGGCCACAGGTATTATAAGTCATTCTGTGAAGTTTTAAAATTTTTGATTTTTTTAAAAATTTTTTGGGCACCTAAACAAATTTAAATTTCACTCAAAGTGGGTGGCCACAGGTATTCTAAGCCATTCTGTGAAGTTTTAAAATTTTTGATTTTTTAAAATTTTTTTGGGCACCTAAAAAAAATTAAATTTAACTCAAAGTGGGTAGCCACAGGTATTCTAAGCCATTCTGTGAAGTTTTGAAATTTTTTATTTTATTATTATTTTTAAATTTTTTTTGCACCTGAAAAAATTTAAATTTAACTCAAAGTGGGTGGCTACAGGTATTTTACATATTTTCTAAAGTTTTGAAATTTTTTATTTTATTATTATTTTTTAATTTTTTTGGGCACCTAAAAAAAATTAAATTTCACTCAAAGTGGGTGGCCAAAGTTATTTTAAGTCATTTTGTGATATTTTGAGATTTTGGTTTTTTTTTATTTAAAAAAAATTCACCAAATTTAATATTTTCCCAAAATCTGACTTTTTTTAATTTTCTGGAAATTTTTATGAATTTATCTAGAATTTTTTAATTTTAATGCATTTTCTGAAAAAACGCTTAATCAACCACACGATCATCATTGAACGCTTAATCGGCGACGTAATCGACAAATTAACCAGGCGAACATCGATCAAAGCCACATGCAATCCTGAAATCGGCCCCTAACTTAGCCAATCAATCCGACACTAAACAATCCCTAAACAAGTCCGATTAATACTCATTATACTAGGTAGGGTTTAGGGAGTCGCTTACTTGGTTCAAGGCCAAGTAAAACCAAACAATAATAATATTTTGGCTGGTTGGCCAGTGGCGGGCTCGGCGCGGGCGCGGGCCTAAGTGGTGGCTAGTCGGCCAGGCGCTCGGCCGCGGCCGGGCGAACGACAAGAGCCGCGGCATCGTGCTGGCGGCGGCCGGGCGGGCGGCGGCGACGGCGGCTTGGCGGCTGGCGGCTAGGCGACGACGGCGTCCGGCGGCGTCCGGCGGCGGCTAGGCGCTACGACGACGGCTACGAGCTCGGGCGAGGCCGGGTGGGGATGGCGTCGGACGGCTGGCCGGGCGGCGACGGCGTTGGGCGGCCGGGCGGTGACGGCGTCGGGCGGCCGCAGGGCGGCGGCGAGCTCGAGCGAGGCCGGGCGGCGACGCGCGCGGCGGCCGCCGGGCGGCGGCGAGCTCGAGCGAGGCCGGGCGGCGATGGCGTTGGGTGGCTACTGGGCGGCGGCGAGCTCGAGCGAGGCCGGGCGGCGACGGCGTCGATCGGTTCTTTGGGGGCTACAAGGCGGGCGAGCGAGGCACGCGGGCGAGCCGGGCGGCGGCGAGCTCCGCCAAGCGACCGGCAAGCACATGCGCGGTAGGCTACGACGGCGTCGCCGGCTGTTGGGGGTTGCGAGGCGGGCGGGTGGGCGAGGCGCTCGGCGAGCGAGGCGGGCGGCGGCGAGCTCGGCCAGCGAGCGGCGAGCACACGTGCGGGCAGGCAACGATGGCGACGGCGGCGACGGCGACGGCGGCTGCGAGCTGTCGGGCGCGCAGGCGACGAGGGCGACGGCGGGGTGGCGGTGAGGTGCAATGTACTCGGCGACAACAACGGGAAGAAGAAGAAGAAGAAGAAGAAGAGAAAGAGGAAAAGAAAAAGAAAAAAAGAAGGGAAAGGTCTGACGACAAAAGAAAGAAGGGACGTGACCGGGGGCATGTGCGCGGGCAGAGGGGGAGAGAGAGAGAGAGACGGGCGCAAATATTTGAAACGTGCGCGAATGTGATTGCGACGGAAAAAAAATCCGTCGCAAATTTGCGACGGGAAAATAAATTTGCGACGGAAAAATAAATCCGTCGCAAATTTGCGACGGATTTAAAAAATAAATGATCCGTCCCAAATTTGCGACGGATTCCAAAAAAATAAAGGGCATTTTCGAATCCGTCGCAAATTTGCGACGAACCATCAATTTGCGACGGAATAAATTCCGTCCCAAATTTGCGACAGACGATATTTGTCCGTCGCAAATTTGCAAATATTTGAAACACAATACATATATTGTGTGTTTCCGACGTTTATTTGTAAATATTTGACACACAATACATATATCGTGGAGGTGGTGGTGCTATTACAAATATTTGACACACAATACATACTTGTTGGAGAAGGAGCCGCCTTCCCGACGTTTTTCTGGCCAACTCGAGTATGTTCGGCACCTATCTAGGTTAGAGAGACACGAAAGCATATTTCCTTTACTCCATGCTGCTAATGACAAGAAGACAAATGGAGAACTAGATTTTGTGATGGCTGAATTTGCAGGTCTTGTAATTAGTTTGAATAAACTTTCATTAATACTCTAGTACTGATTCAAATTTCGTCTCATAAATCTAGCCTTGATCTCCTATTTAATTGTAAGCCTTGAATCTATATTTTATGTCCTTTATGTAGCAGAAGTCACTGGGCACAGAAGGGAGAATGTGAATTTTGACTCTACTCCTAAAGCTTCAGACAAGACAGTAAATAAGAAGACAGGACTGCCTGGATCTGAGGGAGCTACTTCCACATCTGGAATTGCATCTCAGACTACTTCAGGTGTGCTATCTGGTTCTGGCGTTTTGAATGCTAGACCAGGAAGTGCAGCTTCATCAGGGTTGCTTTCGCACGTGGTCTCAACTCTGAATGCAGATGTAGCTCGACACTACCTAGAAAAGGTTGCTGACCTTCTACTTGAGTTTGCGCAAGCAGATACAAATGTTAAATCACACATGTGTAGCCAGGGTTTGCTCCTCCGTCTTTTCCAGATGTTTAACCGGATAGAGGGCCCCATTCTTTTGAAGGTACACTTATCGCGCACATACTTGTCCACTTATTAAATTATTATGCTCCTTAGGTGTCATGAACATGCTAATAATTGTCCGTCTTCATTTGATCTTAAAGATACTGAAGTGCATAAATCATCTGTCAATGGACCCAAATTGCTTAGAAAGTCTCTAGCGTGCAGAGGCAATTAAATATCTGATTCCAAACCTTGAACTTAAAGACGGGCCACTTATATCGCAGATACATCACGAGGTATGGACTCATTCCAAACCTTGAACGCAAAATCTGCGACGGACAATATTTTTCTGTCGCAAATTTGCGACGGACAATAATTTCGTCGCAAATTTGCGACGGACAAAGATAGTCCGTCGCAAATTTGCGACGGAAAAAAAATTTCATCCCAAATTTGCGACGAATATTTTTTCTGTCGCAAATTTGCGATGGACAGATATTGTCCATCGCAAATTTGCGACGGAATTTTTATCCGTCGCAATATTTGTTCGTCGCAAATTTGCGACGGAATTTTTTTTCCCTGTCCGTCGCAAATTTGCGATGGAATTATTTTTCCGTGGCAAATTTCCGACGATTTATTTCGGATTCCAAAAATAAAGGACATTTTCGAATCCGTCGCAATGCGACGGATTCGGAAAATTTGCGACTATTTTCCGACGATCAATTACATTGATAAAATTAATCGACAACAACAATAATAACAACAACAATAATGATAATAACAATAACAATAATAATAATTATGACAACCAAAATAACACTTGTCGCAATAATAATTACACATCATTAGTGTTTTGTCACAAAAATTTTAATCTTCATCTTCGTCTTCGTCTTCTTCCTCGTCTTGATCTTGATCTTCTTCATGAGCATCATCTTCATCATCTGTCTCAAAATCAGATTCTGAACCATCTTGTGCATTTAATTCGCAAATTTCAGTTGGATCCACATCTATCATTGCTCCACATGGATCTCGTAAAGTTGGAATGTTATATTCCTCAGTTTCAACCGTGTTACAAACTTCCTCTTATTGATAGGCTCTATCCTTCCAGTGTTCCTCGATTTTTCTCCGTGCTTTGATTTTACATACAGCCCACCAATCAGCTTTGTCACGTTTCAAACTAGGATATGATGCATAACATACTTGAATTGCTTGTTGTGCCAAGACAAATGGTTCATATTTCATATACCTTTTCTTATGATTTATTTCAACCAAATTAAACTTCGTATGCACCTTCGTTCCTTTGACGGGGTCGAACCACTTGCACTTAAATAACACAACCTGCATCATTAATGGTCCAGGGTACTCTATCTCAATGATTTCATCCAACAAGCCATAAAAATCATCTTTTGAACTGCCACCATTAGATGACCGAACAGACACACCACTATTCATTGTGGCTTTTCCCATTCCATATTCTTGAATGTGAAAATTATATCCATTTATGAAATATGCTGGCCAACTTCGTACTCTTAACTGTGGACCCCATGACAGATGATATAGCAATCCTTGCTCTCCAAGTTCATCATGATTACTGTGAACCTAAGGTTACACACGCAAAGTCAATAATATATATTTTAATAAATGATGTATAAAATTTTAATAACTTGGTTTTGGTCCATAGGCAACTTACATGTGTTTTGAACCATGCTACAAATTGTTCATCGCACAAACGGTCAAACTCATTTGGTGGTAGTCCATACATTGAAGTTTGGAAAATCCTAGTAATAAATACCATTTATATATTAGCAAATATTTGACACACAATACATATATTTGCAAATTTACACTTACCCGAAGTATGGCTCGACTTCTGGGCAGTTCAGTAAAATATATGTATGGGCTGCATGCAATTCTTCGCCTGTTAAGTAACGAAACTGACATGCGTCGCTTGGTCGACCCAGATAATTGAAAATAGAGAATGCTTTGCAATTGGGATCAATGGAGCCCTCATCATTTCTGCCTGCTCTCCGCCTCTTGCACTGCACGTGCGGCTCAAAATAATATGATGCAAATGTTGTCACTTCTTCCACAATATATGCATTACAAATTGAAGCTTCAACACATGCCTTATTCTTCACTTTTTTCTTCAAATGATATAAGAATCTAGTTGCAATAGAAAGAAACTTATCGGAACATAATATATAATAAAGTAATTTGAACTTTATTTTTTTAAAAAAAATTACCTCTCAAATAGATACATCCATCGAAATTGGACGGGACCTTCAACTTTGGCCTCATAAGGCAAGTGAACTAAGAGATGCTCCATCGAATAAAAAAACGATGAAGGAAATATCCTTTCTAAGTTGCAAAGAATAATTAGAATATCTCTCTCTAGTTTCTCCATGTGCGATGCTTTTAACACCGTCGAGCAAATATCATGCAGGAAATTGCTTAACTCTATAATAGCGCCCCATACAAAGTTCGGTAGAACTTCCTTGAAAGCTATTGGAATTAGTCTTTCCATCAATATGTGACAATCATGACTCTTCAAACCTGTCAACTTGTATTCATTCAAATCAACACATCTCCCGAGATTCGAAGCATATCCATCAGGAAACCGCACAGATTTCAACCATTGACAAACAACTCGCCTCTGCTCCTTATCCAATATATAAACTGCTTTTGGTTTTGGTCCCCTGCTGCTTGCATCCACATCTAGTGCTGGCCGATCACAAATATCTCTCATATATTTTCTTGCGTTCAAGTTGTCTTTTGTTTTTCCGGTGACATCTATCACAGTATTTATGACATTGTCGAAAACATTCTTTTCTATGTGCATGACGTCAAGATTATGATGAATAAGATGGGCCTTCCAATATGGTAGATCCCAAAATATACTGCGTTTTGTCCACTTATGTGTACTTCTGTACGCAAAAGTCGTGCCGTGAGAGTTCTGAACAACAGCTGGAAAGTCTTGCACCCGCTCCCAAATTTGATCGCGGGTCAACCTCAATGGTGGACGTGTTCTTTCAGTCCTATTCTTGATGAACTCTTTTTTATTCATTCTGAATGTATGATTTATCGGTAAAAATTGTCTGTGACAGTCAAAATAGCTAGGCTTCTTTCCATGTTTTAATCTAAATAACTTTGATCTCTCCAAACATATCGGACATCCTAAGATCCCAGCTGTACTCCATCCAGATAACATTCCGTAAGCTGGAAAGTCATTTATCGTCCAGAGAAGAGCAGCCTTCATTACAAATGTTTGATCGGTAGAAACATTATATATAAGGACACCTTCCTCCCATAGCCGTTGTAACTCTTCAATCAATGGTTGCATATAAACATCTATTAACTTTTTCGGATTTTGCGGGCCAGTCATGATCAATGTCAAAAACATATAAGGTGTCTTCATGCACATACCAGGTGGAAGATTGTACGGCGTTAAGATAACTGGCCAACATGAATAACTTTTTCCCGATTTCCCAAATGGGGCAAATCCATCAGCACATAGACCTGACCTGATGTTTCGAGGCTCTATTGCAAACTCAGGGTATGTTCTATCAAAATGTTTTCATGCCTCTGCATCTGAAGGATGACACATTAGACCCTCTTCTGTTTCATGATTTGCATGCCAAGTCATGTGTTCGGCAGTGGCTTGAGACGCATAAAGCCTTTGTAATCTGGGGATTAAGGGCAGATAAAACATTTGCTTGCATGGTCTATGCTTCTGATTACGACCCTGCCTCCTGTTAATCTTGTACCTAGGTTGGCTACAGAATTTGCAAGATTCTGCATTTTCATCATCTCTCCAATATAACATACAACCCCTACTACATACATCAATCCTTATAACCGGAAGACCTAAGTTATCCACTAGCTTTTTCATATCGTAAAAATCACTTGGCATGATGTTATCACGAGGCAGTGTTTTTCACGCATTACTTCAACAAAAGAGTTGAAGCAATCCGCAGACATATTATGCTTTGCCTTGATATTTAACAGTCTTGCTGTCACTGATAACTTAGTGTGGTTGTCACAACCCGTCCATAAAGGTTCATCTGCTGCTTTCAACACTTCCCAAAACTGATTAGATGAAAAAGTTTCATTACATACATTCTCATCAAAACCCGGTACTCCTATCTCTTCCAATTGTGATGCATGACTAGTACCTACCTGTTCAAGTGTAGGAGTAAAACTAGTACTTGCATGGTTCGATTCCGAAACAAAATTCTGACCAGCTGCATCAATCACCATCCTCTCGTATGGGTTCAATTGGTCATAATAGCTACATTCTTCCCTAACTAAAAATTGGTCACTTATTCGATATCCTTCATCAGATATAAATGGTTCACCATGGCAAGTTCAATTATAATAATTCGGAGTAAACCCAAATCTACAAAGATGTTCTCTAACTTTATCACACACATTAAATTTACCATTACTGCACTTTTTACACGGACACCTTAACTTATTTCCATCCATGAACTCATATTTACTACTAGCAAAGTCCAAAAAAAGTTCCAACCCAGTACGAAACTCATCGGTCAATCCTCGACGTCAAGGTAAGTTCTTATTATACATCCAAGCCCTGTCTCTTTGCATTGTGTCTGTATTAAAATAAAAAAATCTCGTAAAATATTTAAAATATCATATCTACTGTTCTTAATTAAAACCATAAAATTATGAAAATTAAACTTTTGTTTTTCACGCAACAATTACTTTGAAATTGAAAAAATTGAAAAAATTACCATGTAAAGAAGACATACCCAAATATTTGACTGAAATCTTGATAGTAGAAAGTGGTCAATTTGATGAGAATTGCAACCTTCACTTGGATTGCGAGACCTTCAATTGGACACGTACCTAAATAAAAGAAAAATCACTTAACATTCATTTTTTAGTAATTTTTTTTATCTGAATTTTTTTTAATTTTTTTTTCCCTTATATTTTTCTCCGATCGCCGGTCTGGCGACCGGCGAGTTCGACCTCGCCGGCCATGGGCGAGGCCGCCGGTCGACCTCGCCGTCGCCTAGATATGGGCGACGGCTAGGTCGACGGCCATGGGGGGAGGCCGAGCGGTCTCGCCATGGCCGCCGGTCGACCTCCCCGTCGCCCAGATATGGGCGACGGCTAGGTCGACGGCCATGGGGGGAGGCCGAGCGGCCTCGCCATGGCTGCCAGTCGACCTCGCCGTAGCCCAGATCTGGGCGATGGCGAGGTGGACCGGCGGCCATGGCAAGGCCGCGCCGCCTCCCCCAGATCTGGGCGAGGCCGAGCGGCCTCGCCGTGGCC